GCCATCCGGTTCCTTAGTTTGTTTGCCTTTTAGTGTTTGGTAGTTTCCATTTAACCCACTAAAAGTTAGTCACTTCTCGCAGGGGATCAGAAAACAGGCAGCCCAGATACGCTTTGCCGGAGAGGCGCTGGCGGAGGCCCGGGGCCAGCTCTCATCCCAGCGCGCCATGCAGCGGAAGCTCCAAGCCTTGCGCCCGGAAGCCCCTCGGCGCGAAAAAAAATCGGGCGGAATATTTTGGATTTAGGGGTCTTCTCCAAAGTGTTTTTTCCCGGAAAAGCGTTAGGGGGTCGCCACCTCCTCCAAAGTTGTTCTTATTGTGTGTTTGGAAATAGGGCAGAATATTTATTTGCCGGAGGTCGGATCGTATTTGTCTTGTGCACCCAATAGAGCGCAGTCCAACCATAGGAGTTTTGCCAAGCCTTTGGCTTTGAGGGGCCTGGACCGCCGTTTTGGACTCCCAGGGTATTCGGCTTGGCGGAAAGGTTTGAAAGCTGAGTGCTTCTAAAGCACGGAGCTTTTGTTTTTCCCCGAAAGGAAGGCAACAGAACTTCACAGTGCTTGGCATTTTTGTTGTTTTTTTTTGGTTCTGTTCATTTTTACTGGGGTTCTGCAACAATCCATACCAAGAGTAGAGATGAGAAAATACAACTTATTTCTGTTTTAGAGCCCCTTGGCACCCAAGGATATCCCCATGCCATCTAGCGCGAGCTCTGGGTATACTGAGCTATAAAGGTTCTGAAAAATTGGGAAGCCAGTTCAGGTGTTTGATTGTCCCAAAATTCCACCAAAGAGTCCCAAGAACCTTCAAACCATAAACGAATACACATCTCGGGTAGGACACATTCCCGTGTCAGGATCGCCTGGCTCAAGAGGATCAGAGCCAAGCAAGGCGCGCCTGGTTGCGGCTTGCGTAGGCACAGTCCTTGATTCTCCTTGTCAAGGACGGGGTTGCAGTTTGCTGAAGCACACACGTTGCATGCAACGTTTGATTAATATTGGGTCAACATTACTGTAATAAGTAGCCGGAAGGCTGTGGATGCTGTGGGCTCCCGCAAGCCAACATTGGGTCAAAATGAAACCAGGCCACAGGTTTTTTGGTCCATATGTCCATGCAGCCCACTTTGGGGTTACATTTGTGTTTTCATCCACAAGCCACGGAAGCCCTTCCAGCAGCCAATGCCAGTGTCCCAAGGACAGTTGTTCCCATCCTGTCGCAAGAGCATCCCTATACAAACGGCGTACAGATGCTGACATTGACAATATACTCACCCAACTCTCATGTCTGAGTAGGGGATGCAATGCATGTTGAATCTGGCTCACCCACATCAGCACCCCACACTGACCTCTTGCTGTTTCAGCACCCGCAAAGGCACCGAACAATGCACCTTCAGCCCCTGCTGAAGGCCCCTGGAAATAAAACTTTGCATCACGTTTGCTTGAAGGTATGCGTGTACGGCATGAATATGATCGTCGCTTCGCCTTGCCCTTTAGAACCGCGGGCTCTGGCGAAACTTATCACTCGATCCCGCCCATCCGGCGTCTTGATTGGGGGCTTTGGGCTTCTGAATACCTGCTCTTGTGCAAGGAGCACATGAAGGGGAAGCACCCTTTGGGCTGCTTAAATTTGCTTTACACCGAAAAGCGTTGAACCAAGAGACCAAATGCGGTTTGACCCCGGAAAATAAGGGGTATCCCAAATTCAGAGCATAGAAGCCCTCTTGAGTTTCCGCGAAAACGGGTCAGCTGTCGGGATGAACAGGCATGAATTCTGACACCGTTGGCATTGCGAGTGGGACTTCAAACTAATACTGCCAACAGACCTTTACAAGTGCAAGCTGTGTTGCTGTTGTTTTTGCAATGAGAGCCTTGCACACCCCACGCGAACGCAACATAACCCCAGTTGAATGGGGGATGTCCCTGGGTTTAGTGGGGAATCATCGCCTTTGGAGGGGAACGCTTTTTTATTAATCAACTGGGGTCGATTAATAGGGGGTTAGCATTACTCAACTCCACGTGTTGGCTTCTCCAAATGATAAACTTGGTTTGCTTCGTTTTTAAAGAGAGACCAAAAGAACCGCCGTTTTAGGGGGCCTTGTATTCCTTGGCGGTTCCCAGCCATCCCCTTAGGCGTTTAGGTTTTTAGTCTTTGGGGGTTTCCATTCAACCCACTAAAAGTTAGTCGCTCAAAGCGCGGGGGCTCTGAGTCAGCGCATCGGATGCGCCAGGTGCCGAGCGGAAGCGGCCGCCTGCGCAGCGGCACAAGAGAGCGCGGAGGAGAGAAGTCCAAGACGGATCCAATTTTGGGCGCGATCCAAAATGAAAATGGGTAATTTTCCGATGCCATTCTTTTCAACCCTCCGTTTTGTTTTTTGGAATCCATTTTGTTTGGCGCGTGTTCGCTGGTGAAATGGAATGCACCCGGGCTTTGGTCCCCTGGAAAGAAACGTTGATTCTGATTCCCCATTCTTTTCCAACGATCGTTTTGTTTTTGTAAAAAAATACCTATTTTCCATGTCGGGAGGTTTTCTAGAAAAAAAGAGTCCTGGAAAGAATGGGGAAGGTACCCCTAGAAGAATGGGTGCGTGCTGTGTTGAGGGTGTACCATGGAAAAGCTTTTTTAGGTTGGTTTTTAAGGGAAAGCAACAGGAGCACCATTTGTAGGGGTGTCCCTATTTTGATATGTACCCAAATGGGCTTCCGTTTGCTTTTGGTGTCCGAAACTGATGAAAGGGTGTCCTCATTGGCAACGACAGTTTGACCACTCAGTTTGGGGGTTGTAAGGGACGCCCAAAGATCGGTACACCCGGGTCAACGGAGCATGAGAAAAACTTCCCCCAAGCATGTGTTTTATTGTTCGGGGGTCCCACGTTCCAGGTATGGGTGTCCAAATCAAGTTTTTTCCGTTCACTTCTTGAGGTCAGTGGAAGAAATTCGGGGTTTAGTATAGGTTCAAACTGGCTAGTTTAAATTTAGTATTCCTGGACCTGTTTCTTTTTTGGATTCTCTTTTTTAACTAGTGGGACCTCTTTTTTCCCGGGGGAGGGATTATCTACTGCTTGCCCTGCCACTTTGAACCCACATCCAGATCAACACGATTTGGCTTTCCTGCGGCCTGGGCCTATGTTTCGCTTTACTAGGAAGAACGATAGTTAAGGAACGGTTCATAAGGGACATCAATGTTTCTGGAGACCCAGAATTGTCAGAATCCCCCGTTGATCCCATAGAGAACTCTGAACCTTTTTCCGGGGTTTCGTTGCACCCTACCCACCAGGAAAAAAAGCAAACTTGCCGGGGTCTTCTCCGGTCGGCCGACTCGGTCTCTCCATCTTTTCTGTAGCTTCTTTCATGGTTATTGTTGGGAACCATTTCACATTTTTGCTTGTTGTGGTTTAGTGGTTGAAATCCAACCACTTAACTGTCAAATTTTGAGAATGTTTGCTCCCCAAACCCAACGTCAACCTTTTCAGTAGCCTCTTTCAATATTTTCCAAGTGACTGGTGTCCGAACTTCCCAGGCTGGGACTTGCAAGGGACCGAGGAATTGGGCCGAACGGACCGACGAATTGGGCCGATGCTTTTTCTTCAGGTGAGCCACGTGCTCAAAACATCCGCCTTCTTACTTCTTGAAGCATGGTCTGGGATTACGACCATTTTTATACCGGGTTTTGATTGTGACTCAGGTCATGGCACGTCGGTGTGTCCCTTTTCGAGGACGCGCGGCGGCTCTTGGCTGCCGACCTGCAGGCTGAGGCAACGTTCCAAGTGTTTCATGATTCCTGGTGGGTTTCTTCAAGTGCAGGGTGGGGATTCCCAGAAGGTTCTTTCTTTTTAGGTGGGGGATGAGACAGAAGGAGCGGACGGACATGAAGCAGCAGGTGGGTTCAGGCCCGCTGTGCGGAAAGAAGTGGGTCTCGTGGTCGTGGGAGAGGAGTTCGAGGTCCACACTCCCACGGCTTGCGCCGCGAGGAGGAGATGGAGTCAGACTGTGCAAACAGAGCAGGCCTTCTGGTGGAGTGGCAGAGTGAGGTCGGACCGAGACTGGTGGAATTATAACTTTGGTGCATTTTGCCAGGGGCTGTTAGGACTTGAACTCTTTGCCAACTAATGGGTTTTCCACTAAACCACTAAAAGTTTAGCTTTTAGCAGGGGAGCAGAAAGCAACCGAGATAAGTGGGAGGTTCTAGCAATTGTTATATTATATAAGGGCTGCTCTTGGGCAGGGTTCCGGGTTGGTGTCCATTTCTTTCCTAGCAAATCGAATTTGTATGGTTCCAGTGCGCGGAATTTTCGCGAATGGGAAGTTGGGCGACTTCCGAGTGGCTTGCGTGCTGAGCATTCTGCTTGACGTGTGACGTTCGCGAGCTTTCCTACTTGGCGCTTGGATGGGCGGCTTGGATATGTCTCCTTCCTATCGCTGGCGCCTGGCGCGCACTTTTTGGCACTGCGTGGGCCTGGGAGGGGCATGAGGAGCCACTCCCTCACTCCCTCGCCCAACCTCACCCTTCTCCACTCCTTCAGGTTTCGCATGGGGCAAATTGCGGGCGCAAGCGGGGATCAAGCATCGGCAAGGCATTAGTCGAGAACGAGGGGTTGGGTCCAGCAAAAGAACGGGCGAGGGTGACGTTACCTAAAGGGCTGTTGGAGTTGATCATGCTCCTCAGGACAAAACAGCCGTTTTCCCACGACAGAGGTGCAGGACATATGTGCCAATTTGCAGTTTCTATGTGTTTGGGTGTTCGGTTTTTTCTTCAAACAAACGCAGGGAGTAGGCCTCTCCCAGAAGCTTTTGGCTTGGCCCCCTGCCAAAAGGCTTAAGTTCTTTCAACAGCTTTCGGGTCCCCAAGAGACAAAGCCAGGCCTCCCTTCAGTGGATTCTCTCTTTTCTTGGGAGAAGCGCGTTTAAAGTCGAGATGAAACAAAGGATTCTGATTCTGTGGAGAGACTGCAGAGGCCAAATCTAAGACCGGCCTTGTGTACCACAAGTGAAGTCCCCCCATTGGTAGGGTAACAGGAAATGACACCAGAACAGTCAAAACGCATGAGCCCAGCTGGGATCGTTTTTTGGCTTCCGCGGTGATCATCGGAAAAACTGGCTGGTGGTTTCCCTACCAAGGTGACTTTGGCACAATCGGACCAATAGAACTTCTCATTTGCAGATCGAGTCCGATTGATCGAATCGGTTTCCCGAGGGTTGTGTCTCCTTCCAGTGATTCTTCGTGTCTGTCTTTCTCTCACTTCTCCTAACCTGTCATTCGGGTTGGGTACATACATACATACATACATACATACATACATACATACATACATACATACATACACATACATACATACATACATACATACATACATACATACATACATACATACATACATACATACATACATACATACATACATACATACATACATACATACATACATACATACATACATACATACACATGTATACAGTTATACACATGTATGTGTGTATCCCATCAAAGCCCCGGGAACAAGTCTGGAATTTTGAAGGACCTACTTCAAGTGTACTTAGGTTATAACTCACTGAGGAGACCTAAACAAGGCAAGTGGGTTACGACGTTGCCCACTCGCTAAGCACCCGATCGCCCCCCAGTAGTGCCCTTCTCTCCCCTTTTTCAGCTGGGAGGGTTCCCCTACTAAAATAAGCTAGAGAACAAAGTGGGTACCCTTATTCTAACCTCTCCACTGGAGGCCCTAGCCTTCAATGAGTCGTTTTGTTTTTTGGGTACGGATTCCCCTTGAAACTCAAACGAAAAAGGGTGCCCTTCGATTCTTTTTCTTTTTCATGGCCACTGGGCATCTAAAGCTCTCCAGAGGCCCTCGCCTTCAGGCCTCGGAGTTGCAGCGCGTGGAGGAGGCCTGCGTCGGCTCCCGGCAGCAGACCTCGCGCCTGGCGCAAGACCTGCGCCACACGAGGCGCGGGGGACGCCTCGTGTGGGGGACGAGGTGTGGGACGCGTGGGACGCGTGGCGTGGCAAAGAGAGGGGCAGGCAGTTGGCTTGGTTTGAAGGGAAAAACCGAAGGGAAAACCGGCAATTTTGGCCAGCACCCCCCAATGGCTGGCCAATTACCGGCACATCGATTTTGGACAAAACGATGTCACTTCATGTCTAAGTGACTGCAAAAGCAATTTGCTATCAAGTATCACTCATCTGCACTTAGTGCAATTTGTGCAGTGATACAAGTGACCTTCCAGGGTCCTTTGGAATGGGGTTGCAGGGGAAAGGGGAGAGCGGCAAATTTAATGTTTGGAGGGCAAGTTTGAGGTTGGGAGGGGTTCTTGAGGAGCGTGTCACGGCGTGTCACGGCGTGTCGGGGGGTGGCCAATTGCCGGCACATGTACGTTGAACGGTCACTTTTTTGGGATGTGAGCGTGTCACTAGCGTGTCGCCCCCCCCTCTCGCCCCCGCGCGTTGCATGTGCAATGATCATACATGTCAGCCCAACCCCTCAACCGGATCCCCTCTGGTATCCTGAATTGACGTTTCAACAAAAGTGACTTTGCACTGCACTTTGATGATGGCAAAAAATATATGTGACTACAAAACCATTTTTAAGCAAGTGCTGGTGAATTGCCGGCACTTCACCCAGGACGCCAATTACCGGCCATCGGGGGGGCCTGGGGGGTAGCCCTAGTTTGAAACACCCCCATTTCGGTTCAAGAAAGTGCTGTTTTTGGACGGGAATCCCCTTCAGCCACCCATTTAGACCATATCATGGGATGCCACTTTGGACCCAGAACCGGTCGAGACCCAAGCACTTGAGTATGCGGTACGGATCCCAAAAGCGGTCCAACTAACTATTTCCGCTGCATCTCCTTAGGAACAACCCACACACACACACACCGCTAGGATATGTTTAAAAGAGCACTGATTCATGGCTGTGGTATGACGGTACTGGCCCGGGCCAATCAATTCACGTGAGCGATGGTCGGCATGTTGTGTCCTAGAAGGGGGGAAGGAGCTACTTGTGCTGCCCAGGTTTTGACTTTACGGAAGGCGGAGCTTGCATGGCAACCTGCAAGTGATTAATCTCGGTTCCCCTGACCAGGCACTCATTCTGACGCAACACTTGTAATAGTCGTTGAACTTTGTTTCTCATAGATTATGTCTTTGACACCGAGACGTTTGGCGAAGGGACCCGAAACCACGAGGAGAACTCTGCAATTTGGGATGTGCCAAGCCATGATGGTCGCTTTTGACTTGGAAGCTGGAAGACCCTGAGGGTTTTGGAGAGTCTAGCCCTTGGCTCACGCCAAAGCATCCAAGTTCTCCACTTGTGCGGTGGGCCAACGACTGCACGCCACTCGCCACTCGCTGCATTGATACTAAAATCGGATGGCTCAAACTCGCCAGGCATTTGCTGTCGATTTTTTTCGCGCTTTTGTGGTTTCTCTTGGGTTCTTTTAAGTTTTGACCGCGCCATGGCCAGCGTAAAGGGCCTTCTTGCGCGGAGGGGGCGACCTGACCTGGCCCTGCAGAGGAGTGGAGGTTGTCGTTTCCGGGGGGGGGTTTGGTCACGTGTCATGTTTCGCCCTTCCAGCCGTTCTTGGATGTTTGCCCTGCTCGGAAAGTTTTAACTCAAGCTATATCTTTTGTTATGAGCGGGTTCGATACGCCCTCAATAAGACCTTATCAACGGGTGGGAAATGCCATTGACCCCAGCTAGGGTTCCTGCATACTTGCCTGATGTGGAGGAGCGTTCAGGCGTTTCTCAAAATAGGCGGCGGACATTCTGGGAACGCAAAGAGCCAGTCTGATGGTTGTGAACTTTGCTTGGGCACCAATAAGTTGGACCTCATGCACATGGACACCCCTCATTCAAGTTTGGAGAATCAGCCTCTTGGCTGGTATTTACCGGGCAAAAATCGGGCGCCAAGTTTTTTTTAAAGAGAAAGCGGGTTCCAAGTTGAAAACCCATTCAAGTTGGCACACCGCCTCGTTCACAGGACTCCCTTGCCTTCTGCTTGGAGCGACTTGGACGGCTACAACCTGAAAGAGCTCCTGGGACGTGGCGCGTGTGGCCGAGTCTTCCGAGCGGTGCGCAGGAAAGATTGCAAGGACTGGTGTCTATGTGCGACTGTGTGCCTGTGTGTCTGTGTGTCTGTGCGAACTCCTGTCTATGTGTTTGTGTGCCTGTGTGTGTGTGTGTGTCTTTGTGTCTTTGTGTCTGTGTCTATGTGCGACTGTGTGCCTGTGTGTCTGTGTGTCTGTGCGAACTCCTGTCTGTGTGTTTGTGTGTTTGTGTGTTTGTGTGTCTGTGATTGTGTGTCTTTGTGTCTTTGTGTCTGTGTCTATGTGCGACAGTGTGGCTGTGTGTCTGTGTGTCTGTGCGAACTCCTGTCTATGTGTTTGTGTGTTTGTGTGTCTGTGTGTCTGTGATTGTGTGTCTTTGTGTCTGTGTCTATGTGCGACTGTGTGCCTGTGTGTCTGTGTGTCTGTGCGAACTCCTGTCTATGTGTTTGTGTGTTTGTGTGTCTGTGATTGTGTGTCTTTGTGTCTGTGTCTATGTGCGACTGTGTGCCTGTGTGTCTGTGTGTCTGTGCGAACTCGTGTCTATGTGTTTGTGTGTCTGTGTGTCTGTGATTGTGTGTCTTTGTGTCTGTGTCTATGTGCGACTGTGTGCCTGTGTGTCTGTGTGTCTGTGCGAACTCCTGTGTGTTTGTGTGTCTGTGTGTCTGTGATTGTGTGTCTTTGTGTCTGTGTCTATGTGCGACTGTGTGCCTGTGTGTCTGTGTGTCTGTGCGAACTCGTGTCTATGTGTTTGTGTGTCTGTGTGTCTGTGATTGTGTGTCTTTGTGTCTGTGTCTATGTGCGACAGTGTGTCTGTGTGTCTGTGCGAACTCGTGTCTATGTGTTTGTGTGTCTGTGTGTCTGTGATTGTGTGTCTTTGTGTATGTGTCTATGTGCGACTGTGTGCCTGTGTGTCTGTGTGTCTGTGCGAACTCGTGTCTATGTGTTTGTGTGTCTGTGTGTCTGTGATTGTGTGTCTTTGTGTCTGTGTCTATGTGCGACTGTGTGCCTGTGTGTCTGTGTGTCTGTGCGAACTCGTGTCTATGCGTTTGTGTGTCTGTGTGTCTGTGATTGTGTGTCTTTGTGTTGTGTCTTGTGCGGACTGTGTGCCCTGTGTGTGAGGCCTGTGTGTCTGTGCGAACTCCTGTCTATGTGTTTGTGTGTCTGTGTGTCTGTGATTGTGTGTCTTTGTGTCTGTGTCTATGTGCGACTGTGTGCCTGTGTGTCTGTGTGTCTGTGCGAACTCGTGTCTATGTGTTTGTGTGTCTGTAGGTGTGTGATTGTGTGTCTTTGTGTCTGTGTCTATGTGCGACTGTGTGCCTGTGTGTCTGTGTGTCTGTGCGAACTCGTGTCTATGTGTTTGTGTGTCTGTAGGTCTGTGATTGTGTGTCTTTGTGTCTGTGTCTATGTGCGACTGTGTGCCTGTGTGTCTGTGTGTCTGTGTGTCTTGTGCGAACTCGTGTCTATGTGTTTGTGTAAAGGATCTGGCGGATTGTGTGTCTTTGTTCTGTGTCTATGTGCGACTGTGTGCCTGTGTGTCTGTGTGTCTGTGCGAACTCCTGTCTATGTGTTTGTGTGTCTGTGTGTCTGTGATTGTGTGTCTTTGTGTCTGTGTCTATGTGCGACTGTGTGCCTGTGTGTCTGTGTGTCTGTGCGAACTCGTGTCTATGTGTTTGTGTGTCTGTGTGTCTGTGATTGTGTTTCTTTGTGTCTGTGTCTATGCGCGACTGTGTGCCTGTGTGTCTGTGTGTCTGTGCGAACTCGTGTCTATGTGTTTGTGTGTCTGTTTGTCTGTGATTGTGTGTCTTTGTGTCTGTGTCTATGTGCGACTGTGTGGCTGTGTGTCTGTGTGTCTGTGTGAACTCGTGTCTATGTGTTTGTGTGTCTGTAGGTCTGTGATTGTGTGTTTGTGTCTGTGTCTATGTGCGACTGAACTCGTGTCTATGTTTTTGTGTGTTCTGTGTGTCTGTGATTGTGTGTCTTTGTGTCTGTGTCTATGTGCGACTGTGTGCCTGTGTGTCTGTGCGAACACGTGTCTATGTGTTTGTGTGTCTGTGTGTCTGTGATTGTGTGTCTTTGTGTCTATGTCTATGTGCGACTGTGTGCCTGTGTGTCTGTGTGTCTGTGCGAACTCGTGTCTATGTGTTTGTGTGTCTGTGTGTCTGTGATTGTGTGTCTTTGTGTCTGTGTCTATGTGCGACAGTGTGTCTGTGTGTCTGTGCGAACTCGTGTCTATGTGTTTGTGTGTCTGTGTGTCTGTGATTGTGTGTCTTTGTGTCTGTGTCTTTGTGTCTGTGTCTATGTGCGACAGTCTGTGTGTCTGTGCGAACTCGTGTCTATGTGTTTGTGTGTCTGTGTGTCTGTGATTGTGTGTCTTTGTTTCTGTGTGTCTATGTGTTTGTGTGTCTGTAGGTCTGTGATTGTGTGTCTTTGTGTCTGTGTCTATGTGCGACTGTGTGCCTGTGTGTCTGTGTGTCTGTGCGAACTCGTGTCTATGTGTTTGTGTGTCTGTGTGTCTGTGATTGTGTGTCTTTGTGTCTGTGTCTATGTGCGACTGTGTGCCTGTGTGCCTGTGTGTCTGTGTGTCTTTGTGTCTGTGTCTATGTGCGACTGTGTGTCTGTCTGTGCGAACTTGTGTCTATGTGTTTGTTTGTCTGTGTCTGTGTCTTTGTTTCTGTGTCTTTGTGTCTGTGTCTATGTGCGACTGTGCGACTGTGTGCCTGTGTGTCTGTGCGAACTCGTGTCTATGTGTTTGTGTGTCTTTGTGTGTGTGTGTGTGTCTTTGTGTCTGTGTCTATGTGCGACTGTGTGCCTGTGTGTCTGTGTGTCTGTGCGAACTCGTGTCTATGTGTTTGCGTGTCTGTGTGTGTGTGTCTTTGTGTCTGTGTCTATGTGCGACTGTGT